GAGAAGCGGGGTTCCCAACATGGAGAAAAAACATGAGGATATCTGGTGTACCCACTGTAACAAGCCGCGTCACACAAGGGAGAAGTGCTGGAAATTACATGGGAAACCCCCAAGCCGAGAATGGGGGCCGAAAGGAGGTCCTCCCAAAAAAGGAGGGCAAGGGCAAGCACACATCAGTCATGGACAAAGTGAAGGATCTGGCCAGCTGAATCATGAAGAGATAGAGCGGGTAAGATCCTTCCTTAGTAAATTGGAGAAGCCTACAGGTACATGCTCCTTAACATATTCTGGTAAGTTTCCACTTTCTTTTGGGCTTAATGTTTCAGATACACCATTTACACATTACTGGATATTAGACTCTGGAACCACTGACCATATGACCCCTCTACCCAAATATTTCTCCACATATTCCCCATGTCCTAGCAGCAAGAAAATTTCCACAGCAGATGGAACTCTTATGACTGCAGCAGGACAAGGAGAGGTCCAAATAAACCCATCCATAACATTAAAAAATGTCCTTCATGTCCCTAAATTATCCACCAATCTGATTTCTATACAAAAACTCACAAAAGATCTCTCCTGTAATGCTGTTTTTCATAACAACTCTTGTATACTGCAGGACAAGAACTCGGGGAAGACGATTGGACATGCTAGAGAATGGAATGGCCTATACTACATGGAGGATCCTAATCTGCCTACCAATAGCCGCTCTCTCATATCTGAATCCACCATGACCAACATAGAGAAAGTTCAACTATACCATTGCCGGCTAGGACACCCTTCATTTCGAGTTGTAAAAGTGCTTTTCCCTTTCTTGTTTAAAAATTTAAATGTGGAGAGTCTCCACTGTGATGTGTGTGAGTTTGCTAAACACAAGCGTGTACCTTTTCCCATTAGCAATAAGATGAGTCCTTGCCCATTTTTTCTTGTTCACACTGATGTATGGGGTCCTGCTTACGTTCCTAATATCTCAGGTGCTAAATGGTTTTTAACCTTCATAGATGATTGTACCCGGGTGACTTGGGTTTTTCTTTTAAAACAAAAATCTGAAGTTAGCTCTGTGTTTTTTCAGTTTGTCTCAATGATTAAAAATCAATTTGGGGTCGGTATCAAAAGAATTAGGTCTGATAATGCCAAGGATTATTTTAACCTTGTACTAAACTCTTTTTGCCAAAAGGAAGGGATAATCCATGAGTCCTCATGTGTAAACACACCCCAACAGAATGGGATTGCAGAAAGGAAAAATGGGCACCTATTAGATCAAACTAGAGCTCTACTTTTTCAAAACCATGTTCCTAAGAGATTTTGGGGGGAAGCCCTTCTCACTGCCACCTATCTCATCAATAGGTTGCCCACTAAAATCTTAGACTCAAAAAGCCCCATGGAAGTCCTATCCTCATTCTACCCACACTTGGATCCTACAAATAAACTCCAACCTAGAATATTTGGGTGTGTATCCTTTGTGCATGTTCATAGTAACGAAAGGAGGAAATTGGACCCTAGGGCTGTCAAATGTGTATTCTTAGGGTACTCTACCACACAAAAAGGATACAAATGTTTTCACCCCCTATCAAAAAAATTCTATGTGTCAAGAGATGTCACCTTCAACGAACGAGAGAGCTACTTTGGGCAGCCTCATCTTCAGGGGGAGAATGTAAGAGAGGAAGATGAGACTCTCATGCTTCCAAATATGACATTTGGACCTGAAATTGGGACAAATGGCATTGCTGTCCCTGAAACTGAGAGAACAGCAGGACCTGCACTTGAACCAACAGCAGGACCTGCACTTGAACCAACAGCAGAACCTGCACCTACACCTGTACCTGAACCAACAGCAAGACCTGAACCAACAGCAAGACCTGCACCTGAACCTGCACCTAATGGTGGAAAATTTGGGAAAAATCTGGTATATTCAAGGAGAGAAAAGGCCATTCTAGAATCTGGCAATGTCCAAGAGTCCAGCCCATCATCACTGCATGAGGTAACACTTCCGAATCCTATAAATTCCAATGATTCTAATGAGTTTGTTTTTGAAAATTTAGAAGCACAGATGGACCAAAATCTAGACCTACCCATTGCCCTTAGAAAGGGAACTAGAGCATGCACCCAACAACCACTTTACCCACTATCAAATTTCTTATCCTTTGAAAAATTCTCACCTACCCATAAAACCTTCCTCACAAACCTCAACTCCACACACACACCTTCCTCTGTATCTGAAGCATTATCTAATATGAAATGGAAACAAGCCATGGATGTGGAAATGGAGGCGTTAAGCAAGAATAGAACATGGGAACTTGTCACCCTACCAATTGGAAAAAAAACAGTAGGATGCAAGTGGGTATATACAGTAAAGTACAGGGCTGATGGGACCATTGAACGTTACAAGGCAAGATTAGTGGCCAAAGGCTTCACTCAAACCTATGGAATTGATTACTTGGAAACATTTTCCCCGGTTGCTAAGATGAACACGGTCAGAGTAATATTGTCATTAGCAGCAAATTATGGTTGGGACCTGCAACAGTTCGATGTGAAGAATGTTTTTTTACATGGAGACCTTGAAGAAGAAATATACATGGAGTTGCCCCCTGGTTACAATGGACAGGTTGCTGCTGGAACTGTTTGTAAGCTAAGAAAGGCTCTATATGGGCTGAAACAATCCCCAAGAGCGTGGTTTGGAAGATTCACCAAGGTTATGTTAAGTCTGGGCTACAAACAGAGCCAAGGGGATCACACATTATTTATCAAACATTCAGTTTCAGGGGGAGTAACAATTTTATTGGTGTACGTAGATGATATTATAGTAAGTGGGGATGACAAAAAGGAGCAACAAATGTTAAGTGAATGCCTTGCCACGGAATTCGAGATCAAGACATTAGGGAGACTTAAATATTTTTTGGGAATTGAAGTGACCCATTCCAAGAAAGGAATCTTCATATCTCAACAAAAGTATATTACTGACTTGCTTAAAGAAACAGGTAAGACAGCCTGTAGACCAGCAAGTACCCCAGTTGATCCAAATATAAAGCTGGGAAGTGCGGAGGAGGATATTGCAGTGGACAAGGAAATGTATCAAAGACTTGTGGGAAGACTTATTTACTTATCTCACACTAGACCAGACATTGCTTTTGTTGTAAGTCTAGTCAGCCAATTTATGCACCAACCAAAGGAAGCACATTTACAAGCTGCTCTTAGAATTGTCCAGTATTTGAAAGGGACCCCAGGAAGAGGGATTTTGTTCAAACGAAACAAGAGTGTAAGTCTTGAAGCATATACGGATGCGGACTATGCGGGGTCAGTGGTAGATAGGAGATCAACTACTGGATACTGCACCTTCCTTGGTGGAAACCTCGTGACTTGGAAGAGCAAAAAACAGAGTGTAGTAGCTAGATCGAGCGCAGAAGCAGAATTTCGAGCAATGGCCCAAGGAATATGTGAACTTCTATGGTTGAAGATTATATTGGAAGACTTGAAGATAAGATGGGATGAACCTATGAGGTTATATTGTGACAACAAATCTGCAATTAGTATAGCCCACAACCCGGTGCAGCATGATAGAACTAAACATATCGAGGTTGACAGACACTTTATCAAGGAAAAACTAGACAGTGGCATGATTTGCACACCATATGTATCCACTCAGAATCAACTTGCAGACATACTCACCAAGGGGCTGAACTGCAGTAACTTTGAAAGAATTATATCCAAGCTGGGAATGGAAAACACCTATTCACCAGCTTGAGGGGGAGTGTCAAAACAGTTATTGTCTTTATGTATTTTAGGAAGGTTTATATTTGCAGTAATTCTGTAACAGCTGTATATCTTGCTAATTATTAGGTTTATTTATTTAGGATCAATCCCATACTCACAAGGATTTGTTTCCTTAGAACTAGCTGTCCAATTCCCTAAAATAGACTACAAGCTCACGTATATATACAGGTCCAGTGACCTCATAATAAAATAACAACAATATTATTTATTCTAAACTTGATAGTACTCATTATACTCAGTGGTAGAAAGGGAGACTAAACACTTGTGTCAAAGGCTTCAGTTTGAGCAACATTGGCAACTTTTGGCAGCAATTTTTCGCAAGGAATTAGAGGGAGCGTAGTGAAACTGAAAGCGGAAGAAGAGGAGGCCGCAGATCCGGTCCCAAACATGACGGTCTACGTGCAATTAGAGAAGTAAAGTTGCTGAAAAATCACCAAAATAAAATGATGAAAACACCGTGGAATGTGATAGAGGGGGCTCTGCGGTGGTCGGTGCTGGAAGCTGGTTGCTGGAACAGCGTGTCGGGCGGAATACAGCAGCAGCAAGGGTGGAATGCGGCAGCAGCAGGGGTGGAATGCAGCAGCAGCCAAAAGATTGTTGTGCTCGTCGGAAGATTCCACAGCGGTAGGTTGAACTGGAAATAGCACTAGCTAAAAGGTGTGTAGAACAATGGCTGGACTGAGGATACATTTCAGTAGAAAAAATGTAGAACAACCCTAGGATGAACCACTACTGATACCATATAGAATTCTGTAAATTCTGTGTGTCTTAAGGGAGATCACACTACTTGTATTTATACTAATGTTACAATAAATACATTGAAGTTTAATGAATAAGATCTAACCTAGTTAACGAATAAGCACTAACCTAGAAAGTTGTTTAGTCTTGGAATACTATCAATCACTAGAATATCTACAATCATAATTAATTCTAACAGTTTTGATGCATGATCAAGTTTTAAATCGAATATGCAACATTTGTGTTATTCAATCTCAGTTTCTTGCGAATCAAACGAATCCATAGTATATTGTCCATAATATTTTTTTAAATAACATAATGTTGGGTAAGAGTCCTATCATATTGGTATCTGTGTCCGGTTTCTTACTTCCTTGCAAATCAAATGGATCCATAATATATTGTACTTCAAAATATTTTGCAGCTTTAGGCGGGGTAGGAGTCATATTGGTATACTGTCAATGTCTTATGTATTGATATTTTGTCTTGTGCAGGTGATTTGCTACAACACTTTTCAACTGTAATTTTTGATAAGTTGGATAAACGTGAAACATGGGATGATGACTTTGAATTAAACACGATATTACAGGTAGAGTTTCTTGGTTCTGCTTGATTGTGAACTTTGGTATACTTTTTGTTTGTTATTAGCATTTGGGTCAGGCCTATTCTTAACCCAAAAAGCTCAAGAGAAGGGGATTATGCAAGTCCTATAAATACTCTATTGGCCATACCTTCTGTTAAAATGGGTTTCTCAACACCCCTTCGCACCTGAGATTGGATACCTGGAATGTGACGTTTGTTGGATGGGATATCTATAGGTTCCCAATATTTGGTCTAGGATAGGCTTTATATACCATCTTAAAATTTGAGTTAAACCTATCTCATTTTTCAAAGTTGGCTCAAGAGGTAGGGATTGCTCAAAACTTGTAAAGTACTACTTTACCCCATTGATTAGTAAAGTTGGACCAGAGAATCTCTTCTAAGTTCCGGTTTCTTGTATCAAATTATATGTAAATTTATTCCGAAGTTTGAGAATTGAAGGAATGGATCATAATTCAAAAATGACAAGCTGGGTATGGATAGAGCATATTTTTAGTGTGTAAGAAAACTAAACAATACCTCAGAACCCAATTTATGTCTGGACAATTTTTCATTAAGATATGAGACTTTTTATCGACAATTTATTCCCCATGCATGTGTGACTTTGTCTAATAGACTTACTGTTTCTTGACAAAGAGCAACTACCATAGGGCATTGCACACTGATAGAAAATTTGGAAATATCTAATAGTACTTGGGTTTTTCTTAGAGTAACTTGGTATATATTGGATTATCCATAGGATTGGGAGTCTCGTTTTTGTCATGACACAAGACTAGTTTCCTTGTTTAATTAGAGTCATGAATCTAGTATTAGTGTGGAAAAAGGTTAATTTCTATAATATTATAAAGCAATAACCACAGTTCAAAGTCTATAATGTTTCTCTTTCTTAGGTTTTTTTTATTTTATATAAAACCCTATAATTTCAACATGGAATCAAATCAGCGTCATCCTCCATGACTTGGATTGTCACTTTTCTGTTGTCTTATGATTGGATTCCAATTTTTTTAACCTGGCCCAAAGAGTGATGAGGGAGTGTGGGCCGGTATAGGGAAGGCTGGGGTTAGTAGGTTGTTCTGCTTACAGTTTGTTATAAGTAGTGAGAAGGGAATAAATTAATATGTAATACACAAATAATATGTAATACACAAAACGTTGTAGGCTATTCCCCTTAATGCTAAAGCTTGTTACAAATAAACCCTTGATAAAACATATAATATGTAATCCACAAAACGTTGTAGGCAAGGCAACTTAGGGAGGTTGGAAACATCAAAGAGATGACATTGTTGGAAAGAAAACCCAACAAGATAGTTGGAATGGTCATCAACCTGAGGAGCTAGTTGGGACACTGTATGACCATCAAAGAGGAGACTTCATTGGAATAATCATTGATGCAAATTTTCTTGCAAAAAAATTTCCGACAAGAATTAAAACTTCAAATCAACCCATTAAGGCCAATTTGCATATGGAATAGCCAAGGGCAGACTTCATCTGCTATATCTGGAGGCTGCTAGAAAGAGGATACAGTAGTGAAACAAATTGATCCAAGGTTTTTGAGATAGATTGTGGAAAAGATAAGCAGAAAAAACCAATGACAAAGAACATGGGAAAGAAAGAGTGGCCAAAATCTGTGCAAAACTGATAAAACAGAATTATAGAATTGATCTTCAGATTTTAGAGATCTCGGATGATAGAACAGAGGACAATTCAAGTTGAAAAAGGAAACTGTATTGATGTAAGTTCAGGATTTGGAGAGACTCCCTACAAAACTGACCCAGAGTCTATGGCTCCTCAGAGAAAGATTTCTATGCCCTTACCTTTTTTTCTAACAGAATGCTAACATGAATCCCCTTTATTCCTATGATGCATAGGTATGGCCCGTTGCGGGTACGGTACCCGGTGCGGGATACGGTACGTTAATAAAAGTTAAGGTACAGGTACGTTAATAAAGAGTAAGAGTTTTTTTATAAAATGTATGAATAGAGAACTAAATTGTTAGGTTCACAACAAAACATCAGTATAAAAATAAATTAAAAAATAAAAAATAATGTTAAGATACACTAACAAAGAAATTAAAATACATAAATATACTATATTGACATTTGAGAAACCACAAATTTCACTTAAAACGGTACTTTACCGTTTTAGAAGTACTCATGCTTGAGAGGTTTCTAATAAACCCATCCACACAACAGAGTCCATTGTTATAGTATTGCTAGTTCTTTCAGTTTATGCAACACAATAGTCATACCTCACGATCGCAATCACTTATTCACTACCACTTTGCCAAACCATTATAGGAGGTAGCCACCACAATTAATATCTCCATAATCTATTTTCAAAACATTTAATACAGTGATTTGTGAGTAACAGCCTCCCTCATAAATTTTTCATTTATTCAACATGTCTTGAATAATAGCAATAAGAAATGGGCTTTATATAGGTAGCACTTGGCACATGGTTAGAACAGAACACGGCAGCCTGTTCTGTTTTGTTTGTTTGGTTCTACCATTTTTAGTAAAATCAAATGCATCAATATGTTGTTTTATGTACTGTTCTGTGCAGTTTCTTCTTCATTATTTTGCTTTCTCATAGGTTCTTCTATTGGAGATAATCCTATTTGAGACATTGTCAAACACTAAATGTGGACAAGTCTTCCAGCCGGGTTCTGTTTCATTTCTTATATGTGCCAAACCAAATATAAAACAGAACTCATTTATATTGATTTATCTTGTTTTAACTCCCGAATGCAACCACAAGAAATTCTAGGAGAACAAATCGTTACAAAAGGAAATGGTTCATGTAGTTAATCTTTGAATGCAAGGCAAAATTGGAATCAAAATATTATAGGAAATGTGTGCAGTTATACTAGAGAAAGGTTATGACCATTAAAGAAAAATTATAGGATAAGAACCATAAACATGCTCAATAGACCAACACAATCAAATATGACCACTCAAAATCTTATGAAAGAGACTAGAGGAAGTAAAATGTATAATAAGACAATGAACAACATGTTTACAGTATAGGGTCTTAGATGAAGGAGGAAAAAGAAGAAAAAGAAAAAGCTCAGAATTATAATAGTTGTTTTATTATATAAATTACTTAGCACTAAACCTTATTTATTCTAATAGAAGACTCAAATCATTATTTTATTATATGTAAAATACAAAGCACTAAAACTTATTTATGATAATTCTAGGCTCATAAATCATAATCCTAATTAACTAAGAAAACAAATCATGAAGTATAAAAGAAATATGGAAACCAATTACTAGTCCTACGAGATAATTTAAGATATTATAAATTACTATTTACTCCCCTTAATGCTAAACCTTGTTACAAATAAACCCTTGATAAAATATATAATATGCTATGATGCATGGGTACGGTACCCGGTGCGGGTACCGGTACGAGATACGGCATTTTAAAAAAAATCAAGGTACGTGTACGTTAATAAAAAATAAGTTTTCTATAAAATGTATAAGTAAAGAACTAAATTGTTAGGTTCACAGCAAAACATCACTTAAAAAGTTTAAAATATGGCAAAAATAACGTAACGAAGAAATTAAAATACAAAAATATACTATTTTGATATTTGAGAAAACACAAATTTTACTCAAAACCACATAATGGACAAAAATAAAGTACCACGAGTACCGTACGTGTACCCGGTACCAGTACTTTCACCATTTTAGAAGTACCTATGCTTCAGAGTTAGAAACTAGCAAGACTATCACGATGGACTCTGTTGTGTGCATGGGTTTATTTCATAAATTTAGAGATCCTTCTCCTCCTTTGATTTTTAATGCCATTTTCTGTCATAATCTATCTGTGCATATTAATTACAGGAATCAATCAGAAATTCTGCTGATTGTATGCTGTTAAGTGCTCCTGATTCATTGGTGGTGTCGATAAACAAAAATATTGTTGAGGGTGATGAGGAAGCTAGTATACCTGGTTCTGTTTTGGGTACTCCTCGTAAAAGTCATGTCAATAGCTTCGGGATTAACGGCCTTGATATGCTAAAGTTCACATATAAGGTCATTCTTCCGTCAATTTATTATCCTTTCTGTCTAACTCTTCTTTATTAAGAACATTGGTTTCTATAGCTAATTTTTTGCGCAACGATTACTAAAAATTTTGAACTGGCAGGTACCTTGGCCTCTTGAACTCATTGCAAACACAGAGGCAATAAAGAAGTACAACCAGGTATCTGACTTGTCTGTACAATCCTCTCTTTTTTTCTTAGCCTTGTAGTTCTATTCTTCCTATTGTCTATGTTTCTTCGTGCTCTCTGGTTGGTTCTTTTTGCCTATGTTAATCTTCTCCTTCATATGTATTCACATGTATATTAGGTTATGCGGTTTTTGCTGAAGGTCAAGCGTGCAAAATGTGTTTTAGATAAAGTGCGGAGATGGATGTGGAAGGTTATTCTATATATTACTTCTCATTTCTCTTCAGTGGAGCATACCCTCCCTCAGCTACATTTTCCTTAATTCTTGATACTTTGACGTTTGAAACTGCAATCACCCTTTGCAGGGTAGGGGATCTACAACAAATAACAGAAAGCGTCATTGGCTAGTGGAGCAGAAACTCCTTCATTTTGTGGATGCTTTTCACCAATATGTGATGGACCGGGTATGTACATTGCTTTAAGATAAGTACAAAAAATAATTTCTCCAATAGAAAATCTATTAGCAAAGCACAGTACGTGGTGCATGGTTAATCAGTATTGAAGTTATTATCCATCATAAATGCAAATAATATAGGAGGGACAGCTATTACTGATACTAACCCTTTTTGCTAGATTTTGGACGGTGAAGGGGAGAATATAAATATAGCATTGGGCTACCAATAGAATGGCTAGTTGTTAGTGGAATCTTCACATTAGTCATACACTCGGACTTATATGGTTCTGCATCATGGCAACGGAACTTAAGTGTTTTACCTGTCACTACAATTTTTATGCAGGTATATCACAGTGCATGGCGTGAACTATGTGAAGGTATGGCTTTGGCCAAATCTCTGGATGAGGTCATTGATGCCCATGAGGCCTACATTTTGTCAATTCAGCGGCAGTGCTTTGTGGTTCCTGATAAACTGGTGATTCATCGTGTCTTGTAATTTGAAATTTCGTGTTCTCCTTGTATCATGTTTTGACCGACGTGTTTATGATGGGGCAAAGCTTGAGTAGTTTCAAACTTCTTTATTGTGTTCAGGGGGCTTTGATTGCCAGTCGCGTTAATATCATTCTTGGTTTAGCTTTAGACTTCCATACCATACAACAAACATTAAAAAGCGGCGGAACTGTTTCTGCAATCAAGGCAAGGTGTGAGATGGAAGTCGACCGAATAGAGAAACAGTTTGATGATTGCATTGCTTTCCTACTTAGGGTATTCTTCTTCAGAATTTATTCTAACTTCTATTATGCTGCTACTTTGTTACACTAGCTCTATTTTATGGTCTTGATGAAAATAATGAACTTTCTTATGAAGATGCTGTAAAATTGAAAGGAAATGATTAATAACCAATAGAAGTCCCGACTTGAGGAGTTGATAACACAATAATTAGAGGGGTAGAGAAAGAATAAGATGAACAGAGTGAAACCATTGAAATTTTTTTTTTTACCTGAATTGCCTATTTGAATAATTAATTTTTAGGGTTTAGGGGAAGTTTAGATCTGAATTTTCTACTTTAAAATACTTGTTTATATGTGAGTACTTGATTGTGTAATGTTTATCTTGGTTTTTTTTCAGGTTTTATCGTTCAAACTAAATGTAGGGCATTTCCCTCATTTGGCTGATTTAGTCACTAGAATTAACTACAACTATTTCTACATGTCTGCTAATGGGAATTTAATGACCACTTCTGGCCCTGGAAGTATTACTTCTAGATTGGGGAAAGCCACTGGGTAAAACTGTTCGATTTAAGGTGAATTGTCTTGAGATTTATCTCAATATCAGAACAGTTCTATGCTTGCTTTGATATTGTGCCTATTCTGAGAGGATGTCGCATGCATTTGGCCTTTGAGCTCAGTGAAGGGCAAAAAATATTGAAGTTTGTTGCCCGTGCCAGTAAATGCAGGACTGCATCTGTTGCAGGATGCATTAGTGCACAACTCGTAAGTTGTATAGAGTGTTGTTTATTTTTCTTATCTATATGCAACTACGTAGGATACATAATCCTATTCCTTGTATATGATTGTGAAAGCCTACGCTAAATTTCCCCCCTTCCTTTTTAACTTTTGCACAGTATTATCTATGTGATTGGGCTTCATAATTTTGTAATGACATGTGTGCAATCAAATTTCCGATCTCCTTATCACTCTATCATGTAAAATCATCATCTCAACTACCAAGTCATTATTTATCTGGTACACCTTTGCTCCTAAGAATGTGACGCTAAATAATAATTACTTAAAAAGTTTATCGAATCTTTTTATACTCAGTAAAAATTTATGCTTACAGAGAGGTGAATGTGCTCGAGTAAGCTAGTTTTGTCCTTGTGAACTTTGGTTTCTAGTTTATGAACCAGCTATGAATTTCTAGTGCTATTCACACAGATGTCCAAAATGTCCTTGCAACAGCTCCGTCCTAAAAGACAGAAGGATTACAAACTATTCAAGGATGACAACTGTTTATGCTATTTACTCTTGATGGGCATCATGGTTGGCTGCATGTAAAACAAAACAAGTGGTCCAGTGTAGCATTCACAAGGACATCCTCAAAATGTAAACTTGTCATATAAAACTATAAGAAACACATTTTTGGCATTGATTGAACAACCACCATTCACTAGTGAAAATGTTGATCACAATTAACAGATTGAAGACGGCAATTGTAAGAAAATGAATGTAGAAGAAATGTGATATACAATGTTTAGCATTTTGATATTGAAATAGTAGAAGTGATAGTGAGCACAAGTTTAATTTGATTTATAGCATGTTTGGTTTCGTGGCGGGAAGCCAATAGATGCGCGAATGGCCAGAAGCTAAGAAAGCTTCTTAAAAAATCACGCGGAAATCACATTGGGATGCCCTTTGAATGGTTGTTATGTTTTTATGATACGGAACCAAACACACCTTTAGAATACTCAACAACCATTGACACATGTGAAAGGTAAGAAAAGGTGGATTTGAGAGGGATGTTAGGTTAGCAGTTTGTACGGTACTGTTAAGGTTATTCCCTGATGGGTTTGATACAGTAAGCAGTCTCCTGAAAAAGTTGTTTGATGTTGTTTTGAAAAGGGCTTCTCGAGAAAAGGGTATTCACTTTACTCTCCAAAGATTCCACTTTTCTCATCTCTTTTTCGCCTTTCCTTTCGTCCTTTTATTCCCCCTCGGGGTTCCCAATACTCAAATCATTTTAAACACGACTTTCAACTTCTTCCATTTTTAATACTCAAAATAATCAAAATGATCAAAACTAACAAAACCAAAGCATATACTATCTCTCTTTATCTGCAACAATATATAAGCCATCCTTTGTAAACAAAACTTCAGAATGAGAATGTCTCACACCAACAACATATCATCTACTCACCAAGTGTCTTTTTCTACTCCTCACAACCTTCATATCCACAAATACTAACTCTGCATTACATTCAATCTAACCTCAACCCAAACCACACTCTAGCAGGAATCACAATGTCATCATCTTCATCAATGCCATTGTATCCCCAACAACAACTACAACCTCCTCCTTTTGATGAAGTCACACAACAATCCTACAATGGTGCATCACATTCACAACATGACTCCATTGGTCCTGTAATTGGAGTTCTTGTCGTGATAATTGTGTTGGGAATAATTGCTGTAATGATTGGAAGACTATGCTCAGGAAGGAAAATCATGGGTCATGGCCAATATGATGTAGAAAGCTGGGCAGAGAGAAAATGTTCTACTTGTATTGATGGAAGAATTAACCTTTCAATACCTACGAGGGTCACTGAATCCAACACCTCACTTCCTGCAACACCCATCAATACTACTCATCAACCAGAACAATCTTCTTCTCAAAACTCACCACCTAACACTTGATTTGGTTTCTTTCCACAACTTCAACGAAAGTGTCCGACACTAATACGACATTGATCTGAGTTAGTGTCTATGTTAATGTTAGGCTCCTGTGTTACTATTAGTTTTGATTTTTGTTGTATTTTGTTTTCTAGTCCAATTGAATCATCCTAATGATTATGATTAAAGTTTAGTTTGGCCTAAAATACTACTAGTTGCTACTACTATTTTGCTGCACAGAACATTAGTGGTACTACATTTCTATTGCTATTGACACTTCTTCTGATAAAAGTTTTGAGAATGTGATTATTGCATAATGCCAAAAGAAAGAAACAAAAGAAAATGAGAGTTAGTATTCCATCTGTTACTTTTTAAGTGTGACTTTTGTGGAAAAAATTTATTTGTTTTTAATTGTCTATTTCAAAGTACAAAGAAATAATAATTATAGTTTTGTTAAAATTACCTCTAACTAATAAAAATTATAATATAAAAAGTAAAAAAATAACGATTAAAAAGTAATGATGGAAAAAAAAAAAGTATCTTGCAAGTTGGAACTTGGAATGTGCAAATACTGTTTGAGGAAAAAAGATGCGTGCTAAAGGAGGGAGGAGCCCACACGTCGTCTACTGTCTTGTGTTCTGTCTAACAAAATCTGCTCTACTATCCAATCACCATAATGTTATGCAACAACTGGTCACTCATTCAGTGCTTACTTTTGTTGCTATGTTGGATCTAAAACTGTAGTAAAAGTTAATTGTACTATTTAAGTTAGGTTAATTAATTACACTAGTTAGCAGTTTTCATTAGTTATATCCGAGTTTATGCATTTATAATCCATGGATTTCTTGCTTCAGGAAAGTTCAGTAGTGTCTGTTTGCGTGTAAGGAAAATTTATTGACACAGACAACATTTTGTGCGGGCAATTAAATACTGTAACTTCATCTCTGAGTAAAAAAAAAAAGTCTAAATTCAAATTGGGAAGTGTTACATTTTCATCGGTTCGCAGTGACATGAAATATCTGAGAATTTTAGACCATGGGGCAAAATTTAAATATAAATTGAAATATTAAAGAAAAAAATTTAGATATAATTTTTTAAGCGAGTGTTTTATTATTTTTTAATGAAAATATGATAAATATTTAATTTTCTTTTACATATTTATAATTTCCTTTTATTTTCACTCACTAAACTATATTTAAATATATTTATCATATTTTTATTAAAAAATAATAAAATTACACCCAAAAAATTGTATTTAAAATTTCTTCTTTAATATTAGAATATGATGTAAGTTAAATGTCAAAATAAAAGATTTAAAATTTAAGGATGAGAAAGAGATCAACAATACTACAATAAAATCTTTTATCTCTTAAATAAAGTTTAATTTTGATTTTTTTAATGTGAAGTAACGATTGATGTCATAAAAAATATATTATTTTTTTCTCGATCATTCTTACTCCAATAGAAAAGTTGTAATCATCATAAATTCAATCTTGAACAATAACATTTTTTGTATTTTTAGAAATGGATCGTTTCACTTTTTCTCTATGTTATATTGATCACCGATGTAATAGACTTAGTCTTACTACCTCGATTTACAATCATAATCAAGGAGAAAAACTTTGTTATTAAATTTTTTATTTTATTATTCTATATTTTTGTTTTAACCTCTATTATTTTAAACATAATCTAAATTGTCCATTTTTAAAACATAAATTTTCTTATGTATTAAAAATATTTATTATTTATATAAATTAGAAAGTCAAAATGACACTTTTTTTTATAATAAAACTAAAATAAATGATTAACTAATAAAAGCAGAAATTCAAATGCAAAGTCTTTAATGGTCGTTCAAAAATTTTCTTCGGTGAACTTCGTAATCATTATTTAAGTACATATTATTTGAATCACATTTGAAATCAATTAGGATAATAAAAAACAACATAAAATCTTTAAATCACTTATCTCAACAACAACAAAAACATTAAATCTTCAAACCATTAATCTCAACAACAATATAAACATTAAATCTTCAAACCATTGACCTCAACAACAACTTTTTACTAACAAAAACAAGATTGATTAACTTTCCTTAGGACAACACCAATAACAACATTCAAACTTCAATCTCAATAACACCACTAGTAACAACAACAATATTCAAACTTCAATGTCAATAACATGCATCAACAACTACAAGTAACATAAATATTTTACAAGCATATATGAATGTCACAAATAATAACACTTACCGTAGGGAAAATAATTTCCGACTTTCTACTTCTAAAATTATGCAACATATGGTATCCTTCGACATCCCTACATGTTAAAAAACATAAATATTAGTAAAAAGTATACAAATGTAAAATGAATAAATATATATTACCAAGTCATATAAAATATTTACTTACTAGTTTTACCATATCCCTCTAGATGATCATAACGAATAATATGCATATCTTCTCAGTCATTTCCTTCAGATGAGTGACGCACATGTGTTGTGGAAAAATGAATATCAAAATTTAAATCTTTATTTTCATCACTATCAGGAATATGATTTTCTTGTAGAATAATTGACCATCTATTTTAGAAAGATCAGTGCAAAATTTGTTTTGCTTGGGATGACATGATAAACAGTTCGTTCATATAAGTTGTCTTTCGAAGATCAACATGTGAGTCCTAATTCATCAGTTTCTACACCAATGTTACTATCAATCCAATTGCACTTAAATAAAGACACTTTAAAAATAATATAATAAATCTCCAAAATCTCTTCAATATATCCCAAAAGTACACTCTATATGCTTGTATATGATTCTTATCATTGGAACTAGACAAGTATATGAATTCAACTTCAATCACAATCCCACTATTTTGCACAGTACTACAGTCATCCTTTAATTTTGTATGTAATGAACATTTTGTAATGTCGTATACGCTCTAAGTTATTACATTAAACTTAGGCTCATATCATATCCTATTTAATTCTCTCGGATGCACTATTATCTTTAGAAACTCTTTTATTAAACAAATTTATAAAAGTTTTGTTATGCTCTGCCAACATCCAATTTTCACTCATTAGGGAGAATTTTTCCTTGATAAGACTTTTGTGAGCGGATATGTAAGGTTGAACTTCATCAATGTTATTCAATATATATAGATGTGCTTGAAGAACTACATCTTAGTCTATTGTCATAATATTTAAACCTTGAATATCTCTACCTCCATATCTTCCATCATGATGAGATCAAGAATTTCTATAGAGTTTGCTTCTAACAAATAGGTTGAACAAAACTCAATAACTTCTTTTGTGATGTATCGTTCAACGATTGAAGCTTCTGAACTATGATAATTCTTCGTATACCCTTAAAAGATCTTCATGCATCTCTCTACCGGATACATCTATCTTAAATAAACTAGACCATAAAATCTAATCTCTTTGACTAAATGACCAATTAAGTGAACTATAATATCAAAAAATGGTGGAGAGAAATGCATCTTTAATTGACACAATATAATTGCAACCTCATGTTCCAACTCATATAAATTTCTAGGATCAATGACTTTACTACATATATCATCGAAGAATAAGTACATTTTAGTTATAGTTACCCTTACACTTTTTGGTAAAAGATCACAGATAACCACTGATAGAAGTTGTTGCATCAAGATATGACAATCATGAGACTTTAAGCCAACTAACTTGAGATCTTTCATTGACACAAGTTTCTTCATATTTAATGAGTATCCTTGGGGAACTTTGATACCCTGAAAAAAATCGCAAATTTTTTTTTCTTCTTTGTTAGACATAGTGTGACATGTTGGGAGAAAATTGTTTTCTATTTTCTATTTCTTTTGGGGCTAACTTCTGTCGTATATTCATCACCATCACATCTAAATGAGAATTCTTACTATCTTTTATCTTGTCTTTAATATTGAGAAGTCTTCTAATCAAACTATCACACACATTTTTCTTCACATGCATCACATCATGACAACATCTTACATCGATGCTAGACCAACATGGAAGATCAGAGAACATTGATGACTAATTTTTCTACACGAAGTATACGCGTTCTAAATGAAACATGAAATTGTAGGAGCTGAAAATTCAAGATCAAATCCCGAGCAACATTTCCCATCAGTTGAACCAAAAAATCGAGGAATTAGATTTAATTTTAAAAAAATAAATTAAAAGGTTGCACTCCAAAAGCCTTTAACCACGAATGTAATTGATTGAAGTGAAATTTTATCATAAAAATTTATTATTTTGTAGTAGTCGAACTGGATAAATATGAAAAATGGTAATGAATGTATGATAAACTATATTAAAGTCTGACTCAGAAGAAATATTCAACTCATTCGTTTGTTCAAAATGCATGTATAAACTTTACTAAATTTGTGTAATATGTGGAAGGTAATATATTTAAATTGGTAAAGAAAAATGCGGTAAGAGCTTGAATGGACCACATCATTCATATAATACAACAACCAGTAAAATTGAATCCATTCATAATAGATTAATAAAGTATCTCATGGTGAGATATGTGGGTATATCACAATAGTATAAAAATATCATCTTATTAAGGACCGTTTGGAGTACCGGTTTTGCTTGAATTTTTAATTAGTTAAAACGATGATCAATTTGGTTTTAAAATGATTTGGATTTTAATTTTAATAAAGAAAAATTTAAAGGGCGTTTATTTTATGAATTGTGAGTTTATTCTCAAAAATACACATTGAAATATTTTTTACGCTAATGTTTATTTCAAATTATAAAAAATATATTTAAGAATTTTTTATTCACAAAAACTTATTTTACATATAGTTTTGTAATTTTTTATTCTCATATTACAGGGTGAAATTTTTTTATTTTAATGGGAATAAAAACTAACCACTTATAACTTTCCATTATCAAATGTTTTAATTTATTTATTATTTATTTTAAAATTTAAAATAAATATATTTTATAAATATTTCTAAAAAATAAAACTATTCATCAAACATATAGATGTGAATAATAT